ATTTTTTTTCTTTTGTTTTTCTTGAAAGGTGATAGGTGTGAATGCATGACAGTTAAGTGCAGGTGACAGCTTGGGTTTTGAGTATAGATCCATCAATAGTGTTTTCAATGCCAACATGTTTGTTTTAATTAAATGACAAACATTGCAACTAACCAGAATGCTATGTGGGTAATTATACTAACAAGTAATCTTAGATCAAAGATACAGTTTCTTCTTCTTGAAAGATCCTGGGAAGCTGGTTGAACACACAAAACTTTGCAATACGATAGACGTATTGATAGACAGTTCGAGTGTGTTATCACCCATCCAAATCAGTAACAGGAAGACAGCAGCATCTGATTGAGAGTCGTTGCTGTCATTAAAATGGAATGTTGTTTTTCAGTTTTTCAAATTTCCCACAACCGGTTTTTAGTGAACTGATATTTCCTGCATACATGTAACCAGGAACCACAGCAGCCTGTTTGTCATAGCTTCACTCTTCTGTCAAGACTAATCAAAGCCATTCAGTTCACAGTTATGCCTTGTGTTAATAATTATTTCATAATTGGTGGGATGGGGATGTTAGAAAGCAAAACCTGATTCATCAGCTCAAGTCACCTTCTTCCATTGTTCAATTGTCCAGTGCAGACAGTCCCATCAGCAATGTAGGTTCTTTTGGTGGTTCACCAGTGTGTGAATGGGTGGATGACTGAATGTAGTGTAAAGCGTTTTGGGGTCCATAGGGACTAAGTAAAGCGCTATACAAATACCGGCCATTTTTAGACTTTTAAAAAAAAGTCCTGTCTTTTTTTCCCCCTTTTTTTCAGATTAAAAAAAATCTAAAAAGGTTTGTGTGTATGAAATGATAAACTGTTGAAACTGTTGAACCAAGAGTGAAATAAATACATGAAATGAAATCTGTTTCTGTTCAAACTAATCATGTTAAAAGATAATAACTAATAACTAATTCTGCCAAGAGTGGTCAAATATCCAGTCAGAATTATGCCAGACGTTTGTTGGTGGTTATTAAAGATGAATGCTGTACATGATTCCACCCTCGAAAAAGAACAGTTCAAAAGAGTCATTAAGAGCCCCAAATTACCATGACACTCCTGCCCATGATGAGTGCAACTTTTGACTACAACAGCACATATTGCATGTCATTAAATGTTGTCTTTTTTCTCCCATAGTTTGTCTTCTTGTCCTTCCTTCTTCTTCCTCCCTGAGTCTGGCTCTGCTGGAGTATTTTTCAAGTTAAAGGTGAATTCTTTTATTTCCATCATTGTTGCATGAAAAATGAAAAATATGATTACATAAGCACACATTGTGCACATGCAATGTCTGTGACACTGTTTGTTTTCACGTTGGCATTCACAGGCAACTTTTCAAGTTTTGTTGTTGTTTTTTTGTTTGTTTAATCAACCAGTCAAACCTATTGGAAGAATGTGTTATATCATATGTTACTATTTTCAGTCCATAGCTTGCTTAGAGCTGCACTGATAATTTTCCTCTGCATGTCCCTGCTAATGTTTTCTCATGACCAGAAGATTTTTAAACTAGAAAGCTTTGTGAAACACTAACTCAAACTACTTTCTGAGATGGGTTTTGGAAACAAATCCTATGTAGTTGTGAAGTTCAAAGTTGTAGTTGTGACAATCAAAATTAAAGAAAATGATTGTTTTGGAAAAAGGGTTTTTTTTTCATTCATATTAACCTTCTAGAGGTGTGTTTTGTGCTTATATGGAGATATCTAATTATGATATGTTGCTGAAATTTTTGTATCATCATGATAATGTTGGTCCGGGATGGTCTAAGGAGCATGGAAAGAAAAGCATCTGGACTTCAAGTTTTCTTGAAGACGTTTCACCTCTCATCAGAGAAGCTTCTTCAGTTCTAAGTGGAATTAATGTTCCAATTTTCAGCCCTATAGGGGTGTCCGCAAGAGGGTCATTGATCCTCTACCTGGGAATGAGGATCAGCACCTCCAAATCTGAGGCCATGGTTCTCAGCCGGAAAAGG